GCGAACGTCGCAGTGAGAGCAATCATTTTAGGGCCATCAATCACTGATAACACTAAACTGATGAGCGGTAACAGCTTTTAAAGCGTCGCCTATGGCCAATTTTGGGTATTATCGTTTTTTGAGGTTTCGCGCACGCAATTTTAAGGCTTGACATGTTTGGTGTCTTTTTACCCGACGTGACCCCATCTTTTATATTTTACCAAAAAAATTGGGTAATAAATGTTTTATCATTTAATATAGGGGAAACTTTTTTTTAAATTTCGGTAATTGGTGAATAAATACCACCAAAAGAAAGCTCTATCTGTCCCCAAAAAAGGGTATAAAATTAATTTCAGTACAGCGCTGCATGACGGAATAAATGTCAGTCAAAGTACCGCAGCGCTGAATACTGAAAAATGGCCTTGATGGGAAGGGGGTTTAACACCGCGCATGTCAACTGGTTAAACAAGTTCTTTACAAAGCGAGGTTTTTTTTAATGCACTGGGACTTGTGTGAACAAGCCCTATATTTTAGCTTATGGGTGTTTTGTGTTCTTAAATTAAAGTTTAATGTTTTTTTTTTATGTTGTTTTAGGAAATCGTAATGGCCTTCTAGTTCCAAACAATACAACAGACCAGGAGCTCCAAAACATAAGAAACAGTTTGCCAGACTCTGTTCGGATCCAAAGAGTAGAGGAGAGACTGTCTGCTTTAGGGAATGTCATAGCTTGTAATGATTATGTAGCTCTGGTTCACCCGGACCTTGATAGGGTAGGTGTGTCTTCTGTCGGAAAGACACATTTTGCATCTAATGCTAGAAGTATATATTATGATTGTGCCACTTTATCTGAATGTCAAGGTTTCTTTGGACAATATATTATAGCGGTTGAAGCTGAACGCCACTCAAATCTTTTTGTTTAGAGCGGTTTGCAGGAGCAGGATTTAATACTTTGTCTGGACTTTGAAGTATACTTTCACAGCCAAATTGGAATGACTCCTATTTTATATTTGTTACTTGTGTCATTCTCATAGAATACATTTTGTTGGGTTTTTTTTTTTTATAGCTGGTTGCACAATACATGCTCCAAAATAAAAGTTGTTCCGAGTTTTACTCTGGAATGCAAGGGGGGCTGGGCATGATAATGTTCTCATAATTAAACCTGTCTGTACTGTGCTGGCAGGTCTAAATATCAGTTGTAAACTAGATTTGAACAATGTCTGCTCTAACAGAGTTAAAGATCTAGAAGCATGGCATGTTAATGAGAGGAAGCTGGCTGTCCCTAAACTTTCTATGGAGACGGTATCCTGTCACTTGGAAATTGAGAGAGATGCTATGCAGGCACATCTGAAAGACTTTTGACTACAAAAATGGAAATAACCTGCAAGCAGACTGTTGTGAGCCATTCTAGACGGTGACTGTCTTAATAGCAGGGTGCAGTGAACAATGATATTTACCAACTCATGGCTGTCTGACTGCTTTTACTTTTGGCAGTTCAGTAACAATGAATGATGATTTTTAAATGGCAAAGACCAAATAAAGGTCTATATGCACATTGTGTTTGTCAATATTCCTAAGTTGCATGTGTAGATTTTATGCTGCTAACAATTTTTATATTTGGTGTGGACAGGTAGCAGGAAATTATCAGATTTTTATTTTATAGGAAACTGAAGAGATTTTGGCAGATGTGCTGAAAGTAGAGGTTTTCAGACAGACTGTTGCTGATCAAGTTCTAGTTGGGAGTTACTGTGCGTTCAGCAATCAAGGAGGGTTGGTGCATCCTAAAACCTCAATAGAAGATCAAGATGAGTTGTCTTCTCTTTTGCAGGTTCCCCTTGTGGTGAGTTACAGTGCTAGAAATCATCTGGATTCCTTTTGAGCGTTTTTCCCAGCTGTCTTCTAGGATAAGAAAAAAGAAAATAGCACTGCGCTTCAAACTCGAAAATTATATTCCTAAAATGTGAAAAAAAATAGTATAAAATGTGAAATTGTCACAAAGGGATATGCAAATTTGTGTCATACACAACACCTGTGTACATATAGAAAATCCTGTGTTGAATCTCACAAGTGATGTATAACTCCCTCTTAATCTACATAACCATGTGTTGACTTCCTCTGAGGCGACGGTCTGCCTCAGAGGAAGTCAATAGTGATGAAATGCATCAGGTGGGCGGATCTATGCGAGCATTACGATCATAGAGACAGGAGCTCCAGTGGACACAATCCATACGCAATTGCCTAATTTTAATTGTAAGTGCATTTTAATCGTTTTTAAATACATTTATTCTGACATACTACACTATGGGAAGCCCAATTTTTTTTCTCTCTCTGAGCACAAGAGAAGGTGGAAGATGGAGGAATAGTTTTACACGATTTTGGAAAGATAAGCCATAGTTGGGAGGAATCTACCCCAATTTATTGTCGGATTAAAAACAAAGGAGAGGATTTGTTTCTATATATATCAGCAAAGCGCTAATTGTTCATCTGAAATATGGTGAGCAATAGGAGTCGGTGAGTGCAGCCAGATCTTATCTTTGAGCACGGTGGAGACTGGAGAGCACTGATTCACTTAATTGTTTTTGCATTCACGGACGTTGGTGTTGACTATAAAAGCAGGAAGATATATCCTCACATAGAAGGACTTTATTGTATCCAGAAGTAATGGACTTCACACATGGTTATGTAGATTAAGAGGGAGTAATACATCACTTGTGAGATTCAACACAGGATTTTCTATATGTACACGTTTTATGAGAGCGTGGCGGCCTGACCAACTGGCTAGAGGCAGAGCCAGCTGTGCCTGCCCTGTCCGTCCCTCCAGTCAGTGCTAGAGGAGGGGGGATCGCTTGGGGCGGGTGGTGACTGACTGTGCATGTGCACTGGAGTTAAGTCATCTCGGCACAGAGGCATGGCAATAATGTACACTACATAGACGTCTGCTAATATTTATCTGCCTAGAGTTCAAGTTTGAAAAATTTATTTGGCACTTAAAATTACAATACAAAATCCAAGTACACAAATATATTTGGCACTTGTTACTTTAAAACTTTACCTTCTGTCTTGCACAATTGTACAGGTTCCTCTCCTTGTTTTCTTACAGTATCCATTAGACAGGGATCAAAATTTTAAGTCCAGAGGTACAGAGATCCTCCATGTATCCTCTTTACCCCCTGCATAACGTACATTCCACTCGCCCCCGCGCAATTTTTACTCGCCAATTGCGAGGGGGCGAGTGGAAATTTTGAGGCCTGCATTAGAAGCTGCAGCAAATTGGAGCCTACCTCATTTCCTGGGTGGATGACATTTAGCATCATTAACTCTTTCCTTCTCAGCTTTTTTTCCCCGACCTGCGCCTTTTTATTAATTTGGATTTTAGTTTTTGTAATCACAGAGGGTCAGCATGACATGGGCTATGGCAAATCTACATGCAAATGCACTGTCTAGAATTCCCACTCCTCCAGACTGACATCCACACCAAGACATTGTGATATTTGTATTCCTTTTCCCAAGAACCAGCCCACTAGTGCTGAGGGCTCTTGAGAGAAGTACCGAGGCAGAGGGTGCTGTGATATTTTCAGGAAGTTTTCTCAATTGCCCTGCGGACCCCTTCCACCAGCTCAGATTTGCCTGTTTTGCTTAAATGAATATATGTCATAAAACACAGGTTTTATTTTAAAATATAATTCATGATTTGGGGGGAGGGAAGAGCTGGGAAAGGAAACATATATGCAGATTAAACCTCACTTTTAATATCCGTAGTTAAAAAGTCTGGAATTAAAATTGAATGTATTCATTTGAAATCTAAACTGATCTTGTCTCCTGGCAGGCTGGAACAGTAAATCGAGGTAGTGAAGTAATTGCAGCAGGGATGGTTGTTAATGACTGGTGTGCATTCTGTGGTCTGGACACAACAAGTACAGAGCTGTCAGTAATAGAAAGTGTATTCAAACTAAGCGATGCCCAGCCAAGTACTATTGCCACCATTATGAGGGACTCGCTGATTGACAGGTAAGTTATTTGTATTTTGTGCGATCTACAAATGGTTCAAATATGTACCTGCAGGAGCTTAACTGCTACCTGTGAAAGTTACCAGCTTTTGTTTTACAGGGAAGCTTCTGTTGTTTTTTCCTGGTAGCAGAGTAGCACTTCTTTCTAACAACTAGTAAACCATTAAAAGGAAACATTTAAACCTTTCAGGTCAAAGGGGGAAAAAAAAAAAGAAACCTCTTTATAGCACAACGCCAGGCACAAATTTATTGTTTTATTTTTTTTAAATTGCAAAGTCTCAACGATCTGATTCTCTGGCTGTATCCATGCTACAGAAATCCCGCAGGTGCAGGCTGAATGGTGCGTGTTCATAATCACCCGATCCGGGTCATAAACAGCCACACACAACATGTCTTGAAATATGTAACTCCAATCTTGTGATCCAAAAATATTTATACACCACAAGCAAGCTTCTTGTTCTGGGGAGCTTGTTTGTGGTGTATACATATTTTCGGATCACAATAAAGATTAGAGTTATACATTTCAAAACTTTTTAAAAGTTTTGGATTAGATTATTAAGGACCCATTTAGACTTTGGTGTGTTAACATGCATTGCCTTAAAGCAGCTCATTATTATGAATGGGCTGGCAATGTACCAATGCTTTCCAAAAAACGCATCTTCACTATTTTGGCAATGCATCACACTACAACGTACAGTGTGATGCAACGTACAGTGTGATGCACGTACAGTGTTAATAAACCTTGCATTGTGGTGTGCTGCAAAGCATGTGCACCAACTTGTTATGTGCATTGTGCTAACACTACATTGGAAAGGTGTGAATGGGCCTTAAAATGATCAGTCACATTACTAGGATGCGCTAGGTTTGGGGAGTGGTGTAGTCAACAGATCAGCACAGCTACCAAGTACTGCTGACAATGCTGGTCCTTCATCTGATCTATCAACTTATCCAAAATATCCAATGCTGGTCCTTCATCTGATCTATCAACCTATCCAAAATATTTCAAAGTAGAACACTGGTTCCTTAGCGATATACTGGCATGGTTTAAAGTGTTAACCATTAACTCATTTTTTTTCCTGCTGTTTATTGTTCCAATAAATATGCCATCAAAGGGGTTTTGTCATATGTGTTAAGTGCAAAAAATACCTGTTGATCCTGTCAGAAATCCAGCCTGTTGCAATGTTATCTCCTCAGCACTATCTAAGGACTAGCAAGCTACAATATATATTACATTTTTGTTTTGGGTTTAGATATACTTTAAACCCAAAATAATAATTTCTGCTAAACAGTAATTGTAGTGGCTGCATTCGTTTTTTTGTGGTGTTTAACACATGTTAAACACATGGTTCGCTCACTCAATAGTGGATGCACCACAACGTTGAGAAGTGCCCCATCTGTTTATTTTCAGAGTATATGGATCTAACTCCATATTGAGTACATGCAGCTTTTCTATCCTTTGTGTTTTGAACCAATGGGTGGAACGACCTCTAGTTTCCTAATGTGTTGTACAGTTACATACTTTTTCTACATGGTGTGAAGTGGGAAAATGGAGTAAACCGCATGATACATTCCTGGAGAAGTTCTGATTTTTGCAGTAGGTCCTCCACCTTAATATTTGTGCTTAACCGAGTCAAATCCCTTCAGCAGGTCACCTCATAAGGTGCTTGTTTGTACTGCTATCATAGCAAAAAGCTATGTCTGCTATCATAGCAAAAAGTTGTCTGCATCTCTGGGCCCTGCTGTAGTAACCTCTGGTTATCTCCTTCAAATGGGGAGTACATCCCTTTTAATTGTCTGACTTTGCCTGACAAAGGAACCCTGCGTGGTTCCAAAATGCTGCATAATCCCATCAAAGACCAGATTCTGAAGTGAATCGGTGTGCGGACACCATATCTTTTGACTGTTGTAATAACCTGACTTCTGGAGTATGGACAGCGCAGGTAATGTGTGAATACTGTAATTTACAGACGTGCTGTTTTTCTCCCTCCTAAAGGTGGGTGTTGTTGATGCTCTTGGTCTTCATGCCGTTGTTCCCCATTCTTCTATTTTTGTAAGTGCCTGTCTGTAAAGTTCACACTGGGCACAACTCCTGATAAATATTTTATAGGCTTAAACAGCTACAGATGTAAACTAGTACATAATTTTCACAATGGGATGTCTCCTAGATAAAAGTAACCGTAGAGCACAGCTGCTGTACTGCAACACCAAACAAAGTGATGCATGTTTTTAGTGAGCAGTTGTGGACAATGTGTAACTATAAAAGATCCCTGTCACCACAGGCTCGCTATAACAAAAAAATAGCCCTTTTAAAAAGAAAAGGCACTGTATTTACCTTTTGCCTATGTCTTGGTTCAGTGCTTCCCAGCTGCTGCAGGTCTCTACTTGCCTCATGTAAAGGTTTTGTGTGTGCCAATAGAAGCAGGTATTCACAGAAGGGTGAAAAACTGTAAGCGGCCAAGGAGCAGTGAAGCAGCTCCTTCTTTTTTTTTTTTCGTACCTTTTTTTTTTTTTTTTTTTACCTGGCTGGTCCCTTTTTTTTATTTGTTTAAACATGCGCCACATTTTCTAACATTTTATAATAAACTGATTTCTATATGGATGCAAGTTTGACAGATTCCATTTACATTTCTTTTGTGCTTAATTTTTTTTTTTTGGTTTCCAGTTTGACATAAACGGTTCCGTGCCGGGAAAAAATTACCCTGACTGGTGAAGTTCATCTGCTCCCTGTATTAAACCATATTCATTAATTCAACACAGGACTTCTGCCATCTGTCATCATGGCTTCATCTGAATCTAAATATTGTATCGGCGCTAAAATATACTAATAGTTATACCACCTTTTGCACCCAAGAAGGAAGCATATGTAACAAAGCACTGACAAATGTTCTTAACTATAATAAATACATCTTTATCATTAGTATATTACAGTTTGTATGTTTTGCCTTGCTTTCAAGCAGGACTTGTCTTCCAAGAAGTCTAGATTTTAATTTCAAGCTTCTGATATTAAAGTATAACTCCCAGGCACTATGTAAAATAAAATTCAACTATGTATTAAAAATGTATTTTTTAAAAGCCTAGCATATGTAATTGAATTTGGTTTTGATATTTGTCATCCTGTGAGTCTCAATAAAAAGATGATCTACTTTTTTTGCACTGTATACCCAGCCAGTCCTAGGAAAATCTTGTGGTGTTACAGTACAGTTATAGAATACAACACAATGTTTGTAGCCTGGGTAGGTAACCTTGCCACTCAGGTTGTCTACCCTATAGATCCCACCATGCCTGTGCCTTTCGAAGTTGACCCATCAGTCTCGCTTGTAGCTCTACAATACCTGGCGTGCTGAAGTTGTCTAGCCCAGGGTTGTAGACTGAATTTTTAAAAAACCATACGTATACCAAGTTAAATATATTTTCTTTTAGGGCCTGTTCACACGACGTCCGTTTTGTGTGCTGACTGGCTCCGTACGCTGCTGCACTCAAAATGTATCCCTATGTGTTTTATGGGCTCCAGTTCTCACGTGCGCAGTCTGTTCAGCTTACGACAGAAAAAATACTGCATGTCACATTTTGTCCGGTCTGGAAACGGTCAGGAAACCCAAACGCATCAAAAACGCACTGCACTGCAGCTAACATCTAACAGCCCCACTCCAGCAAAAAAAAATATTTTTTTTTTTTGCTGGAACGCATCAAAAACGTGGCAAAAATGCACTGCATCAGTCTGCAGACCCGCACCCAATCAGGACCCGCACCTAAGGGCCTGTTCACATGAGATCAGGTGCGGGTCTGCAGACTGATGCAGTGTGTTTTTGGCCGCGTTTTTGATGCGTTCCAGTAAAAAAAAAAAAAAAGCTACTAACTAAAATAAAGCCCAAGTCTAGAAAACAGTAATGATGTAGGGAGGGCAGAAGGGACCGCATCTGCCACAACCTCAGTGAGATATTTATTCAACGTAGTGGAGTTTGGTGGCACGGGACAGGTAAGAACTGCCAAGCAGGCAGGGATTGCCTATTTTAACACAGGGCTGGGCAATTTGCGGTCACCACTGTTTGTAAAATGCTCTATGGTGACGGGATAGAACTGGCTGCTTTACCCAATCTGATGCATCGTGGAGCTGTTCCAGGTGTGCAAGGGAGAAGGCTGTGAGCTGAGACATCAGTGGTTACATGATCACTCGGCTCTCAATCCATAGAGCCTGTGTGTGACAGCTGCAATGTCACAGGTTGGTTATAAGTATTGAGAAGAGTATATGTTACTCTCCCAATAGTTCTTGAAATGATAGTTAACCCAACCCTGGCATGTGCCAGTCTGGGAATGGGGAACATAAGGCAGTCTATCCAGCACAAGGATTCCATGGAGTTTCCCCATCCTGAGCCGAGTGGATGGGGTGTAGATTTAGGACACGTGTGGTCCTTTATCTCCAGTGAGCTGCCCTTGCTTGCTATAATAAATGCAAAATATTATGCTCCAGTGATGGAGAGATGCTTTACTCATGACCAGTGAGGGAATGGCATTATAAAAGAGGGTGAATGTTTCTCTTAGTTACATAGTATTTGAGGTTGAATCCATCAAGTCCAACCTATTGTGTGCACATATATATATATATATATATATGTCCCTGTGTGTTCTCATTCTTAAGAGTACTTCTACCCCTGTATATTATGGTCACTGAGGAAATCGTCCAATCGCTTCTTGAACGATTCTACACTCTCAGCCAAAATCTCAGCATGCGGCAGCAAATTTCAGAACCTGACTGATCTAACGGAGAAGAAACCCCTTCGTCCCTTGTGCTGAAATTTTTTCTCCACCAATTTTAGGTGGTGGCTCCTTGTCATGGAGTTAATTGTAAAGAGTTTGCTGCTAATGTTGCTATCCCCAGTAAACATTTTGCACATGAAAATCATGGGCCCCCTCAATCTTCTTACTTCCAATGAGAACATGTTTACTAGCCTGTTCTCATAGCTCAGGTCCTCCATCCCCTTTGAGTTTGGTTGCCCTCCTCTGGACTCCTTCCAGTTCAAGAACATCCCGTCTGTTCACTGGTGGCCAAAACTTGACCACATACTCCAGATGATGCCGAACCAGTGATCTATAAAGTGGCACAATTGTGGACTTGTCCCTGCAAAACATTCCCCTTTTAATACAGGACCTGTCCCTACTTGCTTTGTTTACCGGAGCCTGACACTGCGAGCTATTATTCAGCCTGTGGTCTACAATGACCCCCAAATCTTTTTCTCTTTTGGACTTCCCCAGTGGAGTTCCCATTAGTGTGTAATCTGCTTTCTTATTTTTAACCCCAAAGTGCACAGCTACATTTATCCACATTAAACCTCATCTGCCATGTAGTTGCCTACTCCCTTATTTTATCCAGATCCCCCTGTAGTGTTATACCCTCCTGATTTTGGTATCATCAGCAAACACTGAAGGGGGGCGGGCTTGCGATGATCGCAAGTACGATCTGCCTGTCCAAGATGGGCAGATCGTACGTTTTTTAAATTACTTTACAACCCTCACAAGACAAAAGTCTTGCGAGGGTTGTAAAGTGTATGGCCACCTTAAAGGTGCCCATACACTGCATGATTCTCGTACGAGAATCGCAGGAAATCCCGCGATCGTACGAGAATCGTGCAGTGTATGGCAGGCGTGCAACCGTTTCTACTGTACGGTCGCACGTCTACCGTCGAACCAGCAGGCTAGAAAACCCGCCGGGAATCGTACGATTCTCGGCGAGTTAGTGGCCTGCTGGTTCCACAACTGCCGAACGGGCCAGTGTGCGCACGCGCACACAGCCCATTTGCAGTCATCATTTGCGATGATCGAGAGTACCATCTGCCTGTCCAAGATGGGCAGATCGTACGTTTTTTTTTTTTTTATTTCAATCAATCTTTATTAGCATATAGAGATTCAAAAAGTACAAACATTGCAGGCTCTACCAGAACAGATGGTAGGACACACGCCTCAGACATTCAATGTAATTAACATAAGATTCCTACTAAGATTGAATACGTTATGAATATTCCAGCGTACAATTGTGGTAGAGTGTGTCAGAGTGTTATTTCTCATCAGCTGGCAGAGACATGGTTCAGGCCAACAGGACCGACCAATAGTAATCAAGATTTTTTTACGGAAAGTTAGCGTGAAATTAGAAGTATAGCGGTAGATTGTAGCTGTAGAAGGAGCTGCTATACAGCCCTAGCAGCAGTAGAAGGATAAGAAAAGAGAGGGGGGAAAGAGAGTGTGGGAGGTTGGATGGAAAGGGCGAGGGAGGAGAGGGGAGGTTGGGGGAAGTGCACATCTAGGTAGGGTTATGTGGCCCGTGGCTGGCAGTGGTGAGAGCTAGGGCACCTTTTCATACGTCTAATAATGTTCTATCAAAATTCGGTGAGAAGAAATGTGCGACCCATGGTTCCCAAGTTCTGTCAAATTTGGAGAAATTGCCAAGTAATTTCGCGGTCAGCTTCTCGTTAATTAGGATCCAGTGGATTCTATTTTTAACTGGCGCGATGCTCAGTGTATTGGAGAGCCAAGCTTTAGCAATAGCCTGTTTAGTGGCAGTAAGGACATGAGTGAGAAGTTTGAATTCATACTTGGATATGTCGGGCGGTCGAACATTCAGCAGTGCTTCGCTCGGGGTCAATTGTATGTTCCTCTTGGTGAGGGTGGAAAGTATTGCGTTCACCTGAGACCAGAGCCTCTGGGCGATCGGGCAATTCCACCAAATATGGAGGAAATCCCCCCGCGTTGCACAGCCTCGGAAGCAACTTGGCGAGCTGCCAGGTGTCACATGGGCCATGCGACTTGGCACCATGTACCACCTGTACAGGACCTTATAGTTAGCCTCTACTGCTGTCGCATTACGGGAACAAGAGGTTTCTACTGTACGGTCGCACGTCTACCGTCGAACCAGCAGGCTAGAAAACCCGCCGGGAATCGTACGATTCTCGGCGAGTTAGTGGCCTGCTGGTTCCACAACTGCCGAACGGGCCAGTGTGCGCACGCGCACACAGCCCATTTGCAGTCATCATTTGCGATGATCGAGAGTACCATCTGCCTGTCCAAGATGGGCAGATCGTACGTTTTTTTTTTTTTTATTTCAATCAATCTTTATTAGCATATAGAGATTCAAAAAGTACAAACATTGCAGGCTCTACCAGAACAGATGGTAGGACACACGCCTCAGACATTCAATGTAATTAACATAAGATTCCTACTAAGATTGAATACGTTATGAATATTCCAGCGTACAATTGTGGTAGAGTGTGTCAGAGTGTTATTTCTCATCAGCTGGCAGAGACATGGTTCAGGCCAACAGGACCGACCAATAGTAATCAAGATTTAGTCCCCTCGGATGCGATCAGCTACAAGGGGAAAAGGCAGAACCTGGGAACACATGAAGAGTTGAAGGAGTCAAGTGGTTCTCAGATGGGGGGGGATGGGGATCCGGGGAGTACCACGCTTCAGGTTCCAAAGAAAAAGCATCTGGTTGATGGACCGGCAGTCATTATGAACCAGACTGACAAATCAAAAGAGCAGAATGTCATATGGAGGGCATCACAGTAGTAGCGTCATGGGTTTTTGAGAGTTTTGCGGCTTCTGCTTCGTTTTGGTGCCCGGGCGGGACATGGTGCCGGTTCGCGATGTGTAGAAGATGCCGCAACCACTGTAGAATATTTTGAGATGAACTAAGTGTGTTCTTAATTATAATAACCCCGTCTTTTTCCTGAGTGTATACTGATGAGAAAAAGGTATTCAGCTTCTCAGCCCTCTCCCTGTCGTTTGTGACTAACTCTCCGTTTTCATCCATTCTCTGCTCTGAAAAATTATCCTGTCACTAACGATAGGATTGTATGTGTGAAATGGCCCTAAAGATGAACTCCATGGGAATCTCTTTTTTTGTCCTCAGACCATTACCTACTGACTAGTGCCTACAAGTAGACGTGCACTGGCAAAAAATGTGTTTAGTTTCGGATGTTTTGTTATTTGTTTTTTTTTTAAATTTGTTTCGTTATTTCAGTTTTCGGATTTGGGTCTGAAAGTCAATTCGTTTCGGCATTCTGAAATTTCAGGTGAGTTAAATGATAATTAAGAATTCAAATTTGAGGGG